AGCGTATCTGCGCTGCTTCAATAACAGAGAAATCAGCGAGTACACAGGAGACATGTCTATAAGAGTGAAATCAATTAAAACTAGTAAAAAAAAAAAGATCTTATTTTTATGTCTTGTAAAATGATCCTGTTGTGGGATTCATCAACTGCTGTCTACTCTGATACAACATCACTGAGAGGCTTTTATTCATTTTTTACCACTATAACACAATCCAAAAAAGCGTATCTGCGCTGCTTCAATAACAGAGAAATCAGCGAGTACACAGGAGACATGTCTATAAGAGTGAAATCAATTAAAACTAGTAAAAAAAAAAGCATCTGTGCTTCAGCAACAACATTTGATGGAGTAAATAGAGACATGTGACAAGCTGGTCTTTACAACATTCCCTGATCACGGCACAGGATACAACCACATCTTTTGTCACTGTTCTTGTCACTAAGGCACAGTGGGTCACGTGGGAGTTGGGTTTTGGATCAAATCAGATTCAGAATCAGGTAATAATAACAAGCAGTACACAGGATGACAAATCCAAGCTACATCAGACTATTAATCTAAACATATTTCTACCCAACATAAAAAATATCCTAAAATCTGTCTTCTCACTTCTCTCATGAAAAGAAAAGCTTCTGACAAAGCTGTCGAGTTTCCTCTGGACACGAGACTTCATGGCCAATGGTCCGAGGGTCAGCGTAGATCTCGTAGTCATTTCCTCCCTGTCGCAATGCAACAGACACAAAAACCGATATAAACTCAGCTATACTGAGAATGAAATCCTTTCATCTGTGTAATCTGGCTTACAACATCACATTCTCCATCCAAACAAGCATTTTAGTTCCATATCAGAAATGATCGCCATACATGCTTCCATACCTAAATGTCCTCCAGACATTCTCTGGAGAGGCTGTATGTGTGAACACAAATGTCAAGTGCGGACCTCCGGACTTCCCTAGTATTAAGTACACAGAAAGTCCAGAAGAGCTGCTGTGAAAGCACAGCAGGAGATCCTCTGCATGGTTCATGAGCAAGTGGGTGCCCTGATATCTCAGCATGACAAAGCTTTGCCATACACGTAGAAGTGTAAAAAAAAATACCTTACATCCTGCCTTGCACCACCATATTCTAACTTTTAAAGAATTTACTGGTCAGTTCTGAAAGCCGGAGCCATAATGTGCTATTCAGCAGTAATTAACATACTCACAGGTTTGGTCTTGTCTCCAAAGAAGTGAATGGTTGAGTAGTTGTCTTTCTCAACGATCCCCAGACAATACCTCTTATCCCAACCATCAGGAAACACATCAAAGCTGATCTGCCCACCTGCAGAAACATGATGTGGAGAATTTATAGAGAGAAGTGAGAGAGAGGTCTGTGAATGGTTTAACCATTCACACTGGCTGCAGCTGCACCATCGCAGGGTTTATGGCCATTAATGATCAAGTGTAAGTGAGATGTATTCACAAAACCTCTATTGACATCTTTAGCTACTTTAAGAGACATGCACTGAACTCTGGAGATCCTCCTGAATGCAAGATGTTCAAGCGAGAACCTTTGTCATTTGCAGCAGAACTTTGTCCACCTGGCCCCTAGTTTAAAGACCGTAGAAAGTCAGGAGAATCTGAGCGAACACAGCGGGGGATCCCCCACTGGATTCACCACAAGTGAGTGGGGGGGTTGATGAAACAAAGAGAAAACAAATATCTCCTGGTGAAAAAGCAGTGACATTCACGTTGAAGATACAGACAAAGATTTTAAAATCTTCAATTCTCCAAGCAGCTTTTATCTGTCTGTATGGCTACACTTTTCTGTCCTGAGATATTTTTATTTTCTTTAATTTAAGCTCTATCGTGTGTCATTTGCAACCCTTCCGGAGAATTTCTGGACATCTTGCCGATGTTAAGTGATCCCTGTTAAGACTAGGGTTGTTCGGTATACCGGTACTACATTGGTACCGGGGTACTGATGCATTTAAATTGGTACTATACAGCGCTTGGATAAGACCGGTACTTTTTTTTTTTTACGTCAGTGTTACAAAACATGTGTGACCAAGGGTGGAAACACCTCTAACTTGACAAAACACTTGAAGGAAAAGCACCCAGACCTGCACAAGGACTTCAGAGAACGACAGGTAATAACTTATATACCCATGAAAAAAAGCCACAGTCAGTGCTAAAAGCAAGCAACGCCAGCCCCCTTCACTCTCCCCAAAAGTATCTCTGGAAAAAATGTAAGCCTGTCTTTGAGGTATTTTATTTTATTTACTGATGCATAATGTTATAGTAAGATTTTCTATTAAAATAAAGTCAATAATGAAATTTTTTGTGTTCTCTTTTTATTTGGAAAAGTACCGAAAAGTATCGAAATACATGTTGGTACCAGTACTGATACCAAAATGTTGGTACTGTGACAACACTAATTAAGAACTGTACTTAGTTGTCATTGTGATTGGCTCACTCAGAGCCGATGTTAGAATCATTAATAATAGGTCTGAACAGGGTCATAATATAGATGGCAATTACAAACGCTGATAAACTGTTGTGGAGGCTGCTTACTTACCGATTGAAAACGAGAGCCCTTTTCCTTTGAACTCCTCTTTTAATATGGACACAAACTTCTCTCTGATTTTCTCTGTCTGTTAAGAGAAAAGAACAAACACAGTCTGGCAGGTGCTGAAAGATGCCATCATTACTGCAAGTCACCCTGTTTCACAATTCAATTATTTGATCGTTTGTCTAAAACTAAATATTGATGACTTCACTTAGAGTTTATGTGAGTTGTACCTGATCAAGCTCATAGAATTCTTTCCTCTCTTCCTGCGTACAGCTGCGTCCAATCGGCGAGACATTCAACATGCCGTTACGAAATTCAATAAATGTCCCCCTGTAAAACACATTATAATTTAGTTCCGATCAGGCTATACCAGCTCATTATTAACCAGTATTATTATAGGCTACCATTTTACAGATTTCCATTACACATCCATAACAAAAAAATTAATAATGTGATGAAGATGTGCGTACCTCTTCTTAGGCAGTTTGATCTTGGCCATGTAATTGAGACAGAAGTTGATAAAATCTTGCAGTAGCTCTTCTCCCATGTGGGCCTGGATGGACTGACAACAGCAAACAAAATGACCAGGTGCCTATCCTACAAAGCGAGGTTACTGGCTTACCAGGGTAACTTCATGGTTAATCTGTGCTATGAAAGGTTGTTCAACCAGAGGTATGCCTACATGGCAACTTACACTGCAATGCAAACCTGCCCCGAACTGTTTTTGTTTGTGCTTACCTCGGTGTTGACCTGTAAAAGCACCACCCCATGCATACAATCTAGTAAAAAAAAAAAAGTCTACAAATTGTTTTGTAGATTTGCACCTTCGTAGGTTCCAATTGACAATAAGGATTGTGAGAGGCTGGCAGATTTACATACAGAGAATATTTTTCTATAAAAAAGTTAATCTGAGTAGGGTTATGTGATCACCATCAATCATTTCACGGCATTAATCTTCTCTTTATTCGAATATTTACAGCAGTATATGAGACATGAGCTGTTTAATATTGTTATTAATTATTTCAAACTACAAAATACAGCTAGCAATTAGACTTACTGTCATATAGGCCTATGGTAATGTTATAGTTTGTCCCCAAAAAAGGTGAACAAACAAATCACAGCATGAACTTTATTTCTCTTTAGTCCTGAGATGATTTTATTAGAGATGGAACCCTGGTGCACCTGCATTAATGATTAATGAGTCAAATTAAGACTTTAAAAGCATAACCTTGCAAATACTGAAAAAACAAGGTGAGGTTTGGACACATTAAATCAACCTTACCTGGATAGACAGTAACTGTCCATTTCTATAGGCCACAAGACCATTCTCAGCAAACACGTAGTCCACTCTCTGGATCACTATACAACCAGAACAGATAGAATAAAACTAACAGCATGCTTTAGAAAAAACAAGTCATTGGAACACGACCGAGGCACACATGTTTGCAACTCACCATCATCTCCAAGCTGCTCCTTGATCTTGCTGAGGTCTGACCCTCCTACCACTCCAACTCGAACCCGAGTCTTTAGGTTGTCAAGGAACTTCTTCATGTCAGGGGTCACAAGCTGAAACACAGACACCACAGATACAATAAGACCAACAATAATAACACCACTCAATCAAAGTAATGCTTCAAAGAAAAAAATTATGCTGAGGTAGACCACACCAAATTGAAGAAAAAGTCCATGAGCCAGTTTGCATATTGAACTTCAGTGCTGGACTTTTTATTTTAAATGTACGCTGCTCAAAGAAAATAAGGGAACACTAAATCGTCACAGTATAACAGCAGGTCAGTTCAACTTCAGGGATATCAATCTGTCCATTTGGGAAGCACAAGTGATTGTGAATCAATTTCACCTGCTTTGGTGCAAATGAAAGTGACAACAGCTGCAATAGAGAAGCAAAATCAAGACAACCCCCACAAAGGAAATGGTTTTACATGTGGTGGCCACAGACAGCTGCATATTGGATTAGCCTGTGATTTTTTACTTTGATTTTTGGTGTGGTTTTGAGTCCAGCCCTCAATGGGTTGATGTTTTTGGTTTCCATTGACCATTGTTGCATCTTTTTGTTCTCAACAAATTATACAACGTACATCAGTAAAGTTTTTTTTTGGTTCATCAAGATCTGATGTGTTTAGAATATAGGACAAGATGTTTAGGTTACCAACTACAGAGGTGGCCACCAGCAGATGTTAGGGACATAACTTCCCCTTGCACCTTAGCCTCATCAACTGTTTTGGCTTTGTAATCGATGAACTTGAGATTTCACATAGTTTTCCATGATGTCAACTTACTCACTAAAATCTGGTACCACACAGTGTCCCTGTCCCATAGTCAATCTTATCTTATGAGTATATAATAATTGACAAACATGGTTTAAATGTACTCTTGCTTAATGGACGATATCATCATACAAGCTTTTAACTACCACTTCTATAACAAAAATAACTAGACCTGCAAGCAGGTATTAATAGGCCCTTACACATGCCCACTAAGAGGCACTCGCTCTGTACTCCACGGAAAGGATGTCTGACAGTGTCCCTGCGTCCATCGGGAAGTGCTGAGGACTGCTTGCTAAAATTGATCGGTCACCCCTAACTATTTCTAGTGCCATGAGATTTTGCATCTGTACTTGATTTTAAATGATCAATTAGTGGCAAAAAAAATCTGATACGAAAGCTTATAATTAACATATATAGTTCTGCCAAACCCTGAACCCCTCAAGAGGTGCACTACAATGACATCCACGCCCACACACACACTGTGATAGAGCGCACATTTCACAATGGGAGTGAGCTATCCAGGAGCTTTTTGGATCCATAGATTACAACTAAAAAATACCCAAGCTTAAACGAAGATGTAGATTTTAATGTTTTTCTATAACCATTTTTTGGCTTGAATCAGTGTTTTATTTCCTGTAGTATTATATTGTTCTTCTTAACACCTTGTGCTAAACATCACCATCTGCTGGAGTTTTTAATTTGCCCACACCCTTCAGGCAGTTTGTGGCAGTTTCCTATTGGTGGAATAGCACTACAGAAGTTACCATTGGTCCTGAGGTCACGGACAAACAGACTGAGAGACAGTTTTGTTAAATGCAAATGTAAATGATCATGTGTCATTTCAGCTGCAGGCCATGTGCAATAACACTATGGGACTTTCAACCCTTGCAATAGTGTGCAATAACACTATGGGACTTTCAACCCTTGCAATAGTGTACAATAAACACTATCAGGGCATCATCGGTGCAATAAAACACTTATGTATATTATCCAGCTATATTGGTATATAGTATTTATTCTGTGCAGTTTGCCACTTCCCCAGTATAAAACACTTATTGTAATATCTGTTCATAACGGTGCAATATAACACTTATGCATAGTACCTGTATGTATCGGTACATTATAGGTACATTATTTATTTTTATAGTATATATCCACATCTTTAAATGCCTTTGGTCCTGGAATCCCCTTATTGTAATTTCAATTCGTGTAGTGGATTGTGTCTTGTTAATTGTATGTTTGGCATCGAGGAGGAGGACTGTGCAACAATTTCGTTGTGCTAGTGTACTAAGTGCGACCATGCAATGGGAATAAAGTCTTTTGAAATTGCAAGGTGATCTAACCCTAGTTTATTATGGTCAACGTGACCATGCCGTGACAGTGAATGCATTTTGACAGTTACAAAGAGAGTGCCTTGGATTGTTTTTTATTAAGTATCCTGTTCCAAAGAGCACCTCAAATTAACTCTCTTTGAGTCCAGGAAGCTCTCCTTCTCAAACTTTATGGAGGGTCCTCGCACTGTTAGAGCTCGGGCCTTAAAAACTTGCGAAACTGGTGGAACAGGGTTGACAAGCCATCGGAAACACGTCTTGCATCCGGATCTTTCGAGCCACCAGAACGTTTATTGTGTTCCTGGTTTTGAGACTGCGTGTCCACATGTGACTCAGCTTTACATACTGAATGTTTCTGACCGCACACTCCTGTCAGAAATCACCGGGGTCCTAGAGGATTTTGATTCCGTATGTTTCACATGAAGCTCAGTCATCCTTCACCAAAGTACCCGGAGCACATTAAGGCACTGAACTACAATGACTACAAATGTTGCGCATCTGTCTTTACCTGTCTCGCGGCGGTAAGCGTTCCGTCAACATCAAAGAGGCAGAGCGTGCGTGCGTCCATGGTGTCCTCACTCATCTTGTCTCTCTGCATTCACGACTGCTAGTCAGTGCAGAGGGGGTAGACTCTTATCTCTCTGACCACAGTGCCCGTTGTTGCTGTCGGTTCTTCTTCTTCTTCGTTTATTGGCTGTTGGCTAACCATCTTAAAGGCGCACTACCGCCACCAACTGCACTGGACTGTAGAACAGAAAAAAACCACATCCTCAGTCAAATCCGTGTCTCTTGTGAATGTAATAATGTCACAGTAAATCTTGCCTTCTGTTTTTCTCAACAGACCTGACAATTGAGTTTTGCCTTCATTAGTGACAGACAAATGTGATTTCTCTGGATATCATATTTCCTGCAAATGAAGCAGTACATGTTTAACTGTTTCTTTCCGGCATTTTCCAGTTGGGTGCTTGCAAATTCTATGCAATGTTTGGTTGAGACCTGTATGAGGAGTGATGATGCTTTCCTCTCTTCGTTTCCAGCCCATCTTTCTCCTTGAACCAACATGTCTTTGTATATTATATAGATGTCTTCCTGTCTCATTAGTCTCAGTACTCCTGTCATGTTGATTATGCATATGTCCTATAATGAATGTCTTTGCTCCAGTTTTGCTTAATGGAATTTGTAGTTCTACTTGCTTAATTCTAAGTGTTTGTATGACCAGATTTTCCATCTGCTCATTTCCCTCCACACCAACATCAGCGGGAACCTAAATAACACTTGTTATTTCTTTCTCATCTATCCACTGCAAGATCAGTAATATTGCCAATAGTTCTGTGGTGGAAACTGATACATGATGTGATAATATTTTCTTAATGTAGATATTGTATCTGGATCTTTGGAGCCATCTGTGAAAATAAATACTTTTCACAGTAGCTCTGGACAATTTGCCATACCAGAAGTTGCTTTGACTTGTCCTTCAACTCCTGATATATGTCTACACTTGGCAATGGGAATAACCAGGGAGGAATGGAAGATACTGGAACTGGGGCTGTACTGTAAATTGCATATTCCTATGTTTTCTACTTTTACGTTATTAATCCACCCAAAACTCATAAAATTGAACTCATTATGTTCCCAGTCTGCCAACATTAACTTGACTTTTCTCATCGCGAATGGTATCTCTCCCATTTTCAACTGCATGGCTGTTACAGGGGATGTTTGAAAAGATCCACTGCAGATTATTAGGGCCTGCGCTTGTAAAAACATCCACCCTAACCCCTACCCTTAAGATTTTATTTTGCTGCTGACATAGAGGTTTAAGCGATGCTCCGATATTCCAAGTCAGATCTCCTTAGCGCTCAGTATATATTAGAATTCCTGCCCTGCCAAAGAATTAAGTATATTTATAACCTATTTACATTTATTCTGAACCCCCTCTAAATTAATATTCTATGTCAGCTTCACATTAAACCAAATCCCAAGAAATCTAACTGCTTTTAACTTGTTCAAGAGGTTGCTCATAAAGCAATGAGTGTGATTTTATGCCATCTTGGGTTTTTTCTACAAAATGTCTGAATCCAAAGTTTCTTGCCCATTTTTCCACTTCAACTATTGCAGCTTGCATTTTCTGTTTTACATTTGATACATTAAAATGCCTTTTATCCACGGTCACTTTGAGTGACCAGGGAGAAAATGTCATTTATCATTATAGTAAATAATAATGGACTACTTACAATACCTTGGAGAATTCTACATCTACTCCTAGTATTTTCCTATAAAGTAATAAGTCCAAAACTCAATTATTTATGATTTCCATTTTTCACTTTGCTATTAGATTAAGATTCCTATTTTTGGGAATCAACAACAACATGCAAACATGGTATTTAACCCATCCGTGTGAACGGAGCACACACGGAACACACGGAACACAATCCACACAGTGAACAGTGGGCAGCCATGATTCAGTGCTCAAGGGCATCTTGGCAGTACCCAGGAGGTGAAGTAGCACCTCTCCAAACTCTGTCCATGCTGGACTTGAACCGGCCACCAAGCCAAGTCGCTATGGACTGCGCTACTGCCTAGATAGAGTGTTGATTCCGTGTCTTGGTATTATATTGGGATTCCTGTCTATTAATCAAACTGTGATCATCTATTAATTCTTCAACAACTTAATTTGTATCTATATGATTGCTCCCCCATTACAAATTATGTGAATTGAAATCCCCACACCATATTACTTAAAACACCCTGTAATATATTTTGATTTAGTTTCCCACAGGAATTATAATAATGTATTATTTCTTTAGTACCTCCAGTCCATATCTTAATTACAATTGCTTCATGGTCTAAACTAATGTGTGTAGCTTTATACCTCACTTAATTCTGTATGAGTGTCGTAACTCCTCCCCCTTTACCAGATTCCCTATCCCTTCTATCTGCAATGTATCCCTTTATAAAAAAATCTAACTGTGCTTTTAACCAAGTTTCCTGTCAAAAAAAGAAAGTACATTCTTTTGTTTCCCAAATTATCAATAAACGCTTGGCTATTTGCAATTAAGCTTCTTGCATTCCACAAATATAGAATTAATTAAGAGGATACAACATATGTCTGAGAGGATTGTGATTCTTCATTAAGAATGTCTCTAACTGTTTACCATTGCAGCCCTTTCATGTCAAGGTTCTCAACTTTTTGACAATTATTTTGATTGTCTAATTAGCTGATTCCCTGGGCATCCTTGCCTCGCTGTACCTCCGCTGCTTTCTTACTAAGCTTGCACTTACATTGAGCTGAGCTTTGTTCCCCTCAACAGTTGCAACATTTCAGCTTTGCCCCCTCTCATCCACATCTACCTCACCCTTGCTCACTGATTCCACGTGTTCTTATATTACTTCTTTGTTGTTCAGTAACTAATCTCAAAAGTTAGGTGCTTAGTGCTGTCTTTACAGATATGTCATATCATCACGGAACCTTGTCCTGTTGACCTACATGCTGAGGAGTGTGCGAGAGAGAGAAAAGAGAGAACATAAACATAATTCAATACAAACCTTAAAAAAAAGGTTTTTGATTGAATGAATGTAAATAACCTTTTACAGCCTCAATATATTCAACCTGTTGTTTGAACAGAAAACAGTTAATTTCCAACCATGCACTTCGTTTGTGTCTCTTTAAAAACCAGCATCTGCTTCATAAAATATTACAGTAAGATACCATTTAGCCAAAATTTTCGTTGTGAATTGGTATGTTGTCTAAAAAGCATATTCCCTTATTGTGGGAGGAAAAGCTTGTTTGATATTGTCTAATAAACAGTGTCAATGATGTTAAATTCTCATCTATGCTTGAATATAATATACACATGTAAGCAAACCTTTATCCACCTCTGGGCAAATTATGTTTTATTTATTTATTTGGGAAAATGTATCTAAATTACAAGTAAGGAACCTCATGAGACATGGAAAAACTGATTCATGCTTTTATCTTCAGTAAAACTGACTACTGCAATAGACTGTCTTTTTTAGAAGTCCTGTTAAGTCAGGCTCTTAAAACTTAATCATATTTCAGCTGCAAGAGTTCTGACCACCCAAATATAGTTAATCTCTACACTGGCTGCCAGTAAGCCACATGATTGATTTTAAAGTTTTAAGCCATTGCTTATTTCTAAATCACTTAATGTAGCTGCCCCTGAATACATTACAGACAGGATGGTATATAAACCTGTGAGACCTGTGGAATCTCTGGGAAGTGGTCTGCTAGGGGTTCCCAGGGCAAAGTCTAAACAAGTGGAAGCAGCCAAGCAGCACAGCGCAATGTGATCATGTGCCTGGTTGTAGAAATGCCCCATCCATTACAGATTTCATATCCAGATTCAAAAAATATTTTTAAAAATCCAAGGTCATTTCATCACGTATTTTATTTCATTGCTTTACATCTATTTTATTTGTATACAGATTCATTATTTTCAGTAATCTTACTTTTTTGTATCTCTTTACATCTTTTAATTGACTCTTTAATTTCTTATTTATTGTTTTGAATTCTTCTTTTTGACTTATAATTGATACAATTAAACTTTTTCTCTGCTTTTAATGTTACTGTCCAGCACCTTGAATCTACCTCTGTTTATGAAATTGGCTTTATCAATAAAATGGCCTTGCCTGTGAGAAAGAGGGTGAAGATTGCATTTGCAACATTTTCAAGCTCTAACTGTTTAATGGGGGGTTAAATAAGAACTGACTAAGTAGGATGTCCAGCCAGGTGCTTGACTTGATGGGTAGTACATTTACAGCAAGCCATTTGCCCCGACAAAAGAAATGTTTTGTTCTAGTTTTTCTTTGACATGCATTTGGTACCTGCCCTGAGAAAAATAGCCCATCTACTTTATGCATGGGTGACCTTCTAAACAATGGTTTTGAGGGGGGTCTGTGGGGATAGAACGGTCGTCCTCTAACCAGAAAGGCCAGTGATTAGATCCCAGTCTTTTCCATTCTGCATGCCAAAGTGTCTTTGGGCAAGATACTGAACCCCCAAAATTCCCCCTTCTCATAGAGAGTGCTGCGATGCATCGACAAACGACAAAAGCTGTACTGTGAAGTGTTTTGAGTAGTCAACAAGACTAGAAATACATATATATATATATATATCATAAATGTACATGAGCTGAGACAGATCACTTTCTATCCACCCCTACTGCTTAGCATATACGCAACACTGGGGGTTTACATTACATTTCATTTTATTTAGCAGACGCTGTTATCCAAAGCGGCTTACAATAAGTGCATCAACCATGAGGGAACAAACCCTGAACAATAAGAATCAAGTAAGTACATTTTGCTTCAAAAAATCCAGACTACAAAGTACTACAATATAAGTGCCACATTTATTTTCTCATTTATTTGTGTTTGCTCGAATATGTGCATCTACTCTCTGTATAGTCCCTTCATATAGACAGGGATGTGGTGCTGGTTCTGTTGAGAACACCCTTTTAAAGTCAATAATCAACCTTTGTATTAAAAACACCTAGGGCATAGAGCCGGGCAGCTCTAGGTGCTCAGGTGGACGTCGCCCTTTATTATTATTCTGATCACAGAGATGGCGTGACAAAAACTCCGGGCGGAACCACTTGTTTCCAGCCGTCTGACATTCTTTGGGACACAGCTGAAAATAGTTTGACCGTGATCCTGGTACGGAGCAGACGATCTCGGAAGCATTAATTACCATGGCTTATGAGCAGGAATGCTGGTGGACTTCTAAATACCGCCCATGTTAAAAGACTGGAGTCGCCACATCGTCCGCGGTTAAGCCGCGCTGCTCTTCTAAATATTCGAGGTCTCGCCGATTATCTTCGCGTTCCACTTGCGATACACAACAGAATATACAGTGTGAATGATGTTTCACCACCGTTTAAGCAGAAATGTTTGCAACACTTCCTGTGGCCTACTCGTTTCAAAATAAAAGTCTCCCTGTGTTTTCTGTCCTCTTTCTGGGGAGTGAACAAGGAGAACCAAAGAGCTGAGCTGTCGGTTGTGCACTGACAGCAATTTCCTGTTTAAAACAAAATGACACTTGAAGATGTTCATTTTATATCATTGCCTACTTAAAGAAATAGCAAACACATTTAAATGAAAAAAACAGGACTGAAATGTTAAAACAATATAATAATGTGAGGAAGGTACATTGAAAAGAAATTAAATAAGTGTAGACACTGTTATTTGTGTACATTCTATGGTGGGGGGGGGGTATAATTACATTCATATATGGGTTTAGTTATGACATTTCAAAATGAACATATTAGCTAAATGTGGTTGTTGTTGACTGGACAGATGTGACAGAAGTATTCGGGTCAGACAAATGTGAGGAATTACATCGTTTGTGAATCCTGTCATGAGAATAGCTGTTCTATTTATAATATTTACGTGGGTGTTACCAGGCGCAACTATGAGGCTGTGTCGCTTTAAATGTTGCTGCCGCAAAGAGTTGTGGGGCGGCATTTCCTTTCCTAAGGCTGGTCCGATGTTTCCTATGCTTAAGGTGATAAGTTAGGAAGCATTGACGCTCCTTTCCTTATCCTTCAGAGAATTCGAACCGCTCTTACTGTGGCGGGCACTGAAATACTTCCGGGTCATTTCAGTCAGTTATGAATGTTCTTAAACTAAATGGACTGTCCAAAGGCCGCCTCACTAGCTCTCTTCTCCTCCCCCTGTCTCCCTCTCCCCCTACATACAGTTGAACCGCTCTCAGGACCGGATCACTAATCACTCCGAGTCCGACGAAACAAAGGAAATTTCGCGCCGAAACTTTAAAAGCCCAGTTCAGCCAATCAGGGTACAGACAACACATACGAACATGATGTCTTCCTGGCACATAACACAACCAATCAAAGCAGTGTATTTCAGTTACGTACTACGTTTCAAATTTAAATGCCCACATCTGGCCAATCCGCTGAAGGCAGGGTGGAGTTATGGAAGCAGTTCTACTCAAGTTAGGTCAGCCTCGCAGACAGTGACAAAACAGTTGCGCTTTCTTCGTCAGTCACTCGTCAACAACTTGTGTTACTGCAAACAGGTAAGGTCCACTCGTTTCAAACTCCAATTTGTTGACTGTGTTGTCTAAAGTAATCGGGGTTTTATACGGTGAATGGTGATACGTCTACGCGTATATGATTTTCATATGTAAAGTTTGTTAGCGGACGATTTTTTTGGTAAGCCGTTTGTATGTTTGGAATTACAAAGTGACCTAAACGAGCATTGAGACGAAAATGGTCGAATTCTGTTTGTTTCAAATCGCAGTCGGCAAAGATTCTAGACTCGGCCTAGTTTCCTGATGCTGCGGTGACTGTGCAACGTGCAGTTGAAACGCCATTAGGGTTTGCTAGCTTAGCACAGCGCAAAACGGTAGCGTCTCTCTTTCAAAGCTAGAATTGAATGTACCTGTTTGGGTTTCTGGTAGTCAGTAGCCATATATAGTATATCAGTCACGTCACATTAGAACGTCGTATTACTGTAATGGGCAAGTTTTTCGCGCAGTTAAGGTTTAGGCGGGAAGATACAAAATGGATTCTCGTTCCGTAGAGACACAGAAATCCGATTAGAGCCTGAAATACCTCTGAGCGCCTGCTTACCCCATTTCCGCTGCCGTTACGTATTTGCAGTGCTTGTGTGACGACGCATGTGAACCTTTACCTCAGTTTAAAATTAGAAGTTAATTAAGGGAAAGGCACGCCTTTTATATTTTACGACTAACTACGGCTGTATATGTGGGTCTATAATTTGCCTTCTGCCTTCCCCGACGATTATGTAGTTTTTGACCGTGTCATGTGTTATTCTCTGTTTACAGATTGAACGCAGCCATGACAAAGGACCCAAATAAGCCCAGAGGGAAAACCTCCTCCTATGCTTTCTTTGTTGCGACCTGCCGTGAGGAGCACAAGAGGAAAAACCCAGGTGTCAGTGTTAGCTTTTCAGAGTTCTCAAAGAGATGCTCAGAGAGATGGAAGGTAAGATGGTGACACTTCTGAAAGTTATATTATTTTAATGGTAAAGGTTTCACATAAAGGTTATCAAGTATAAATGCAGATTTTTTTGCAGCTTCCCTGCCCACTTGGAGTGGAAATAGAGGGTTCAGTGCAGGGTGGTTTGTATTTATATAGCACTTTTGTAGTCTTGATGACCATTCAAAGTACAATGTTAAGAACATTGTAACATGGATATTAGGGTTCATAAATATGTGAGTTAAATGTCAAGAGGTTACTCCCCAAATTTTTTTTAACATGACTTTTGTAATTTTTTAAAGACCGTGTCACCCAAGGAGAAGGTGAAGTTTGAGGAAATGGCCAAGAATGACAAGGTCCGATATGACCGTGAGATGAAGACATATGTCCCCCCAAAGGGTGCCAAAAAGGGCAAGAAGAAGAAGGATCCCAATGCCCCAAAGAGGCCACCGTAAGTCCCCACACTACCCCCATATATCAGATTTAGGTAAACTCAGCTTTCTTATAAATGAATGTATTCTGGTGACAATAAAATATGTTTGTTTTTCCTGTCCAGTTCTGCTTTCTTCGTGTTCTGTTCTGATCACCGCCCCAGAATCAAAGAGGAGAACCCTGGAATCTCCATTGGTGACATTGCCAAGAAACTTGGAGAGTTGTGGGGTACACAGACTTCCAAAGATAAGGCTCCTTATGAAGCAAAGGCTGCCAGACTGAAGGAAAAATATGAGAAGGTATGTTTCCATAATGCTGGTAAATATGTCGCTCTATTTATAAGTTCTGGAGTTCATGTTTATACTGAAACATCTTCAGTTATTTGAACATTTCTTGAAATTTTTTAAGGATGTGGCTGCCTACAAAGCCAAAAGTGGGTCTGGAAAGAGTGATGCTGGTAAGAAGAGTGGCCCGGGTAGGCCCCCTGCCAAGAAAACACAACCAGCTGATGATGACGACGACGATGAGGAAGATGACGATGATGAAGAAGAAGATGATGACGATGAGGATGACGATGATGACTAAACAATTTGTTAATGTGTGAAGTCTGCAATGTGTTTTTCAGCATAAGTATGTTTTGTGCATATGATTATAGCCTGCTGTCCCTGTTGGTCGGCCTCAGTAGGATACCAGACCTGTATTCTTTTTCTAATTCAGGGATGTAGTTATTATATTGTCACGTAGCCCCACTATGCTCCCTCCACTGAACAACGGTTTGCTATGTTTTAGATCTCTGTTGCTATCTGAACCGGCAACCAGACAACTTCCTGTGATAATACAATTAACTCCTCTACTGGCAATGGGCAGCAGTAAATCTGTCACGTTTTAAAGTTTCTTGAAACACTGCTATATTTTCTGTTTAGTGTTGCTGTACCTTGAGTTATTTTACTTTCCAGATTGATCTGTAGTTAGAATAAGTGTTTGCAGCCATTTTAATGTGGAACATTGAAGACTTTCATGTANTAGCTGTGAAGTCATTACTGGTTTGGAAAGTAACATGTCTAAGGTTGTGCTTTTTTTAATGGTCTGCTAGAGGCCATTGGGGATCTCTGGTTTAGGATATTGAAAGGTTCTGTTTAGCTGTTAAACTAACTATAATGAAGACCTGTTATGAATAATCTTGATTGCGGTCTGCATAAGCTTTCATAGTGACTAAAGTGAGCAGGATTTGTCACAGAAGACAGAGTGAAAATTGATGTAATTTTTTTTCTGAGCGTTGCCTCTATTTCTTCTGAACCCATGTTATTCTATGTAACAATTCTAAAAGCAAAACCAGTGCAAAAGTCATACTTGTGTTTTCAAGGTAATCCTTTTTGTTTTGGCATTTGGTATGTGGAGTGGCAAGTCACTTGGGGGGTTCTTACAAAGTGATAAGATCCCTTCTGTTTTCTACCATACACAAACAAATATTTTACCTGGCAGAACAACACCTGTTTTGGCACCCGGGCTTCCTCCCACACTCTTGCAGCTCAGGTAAATTACTGCCCCTGAATATTTTTACTCTGATGTTTTGCTTGGGAACCTTTCCATGGTGTGACCCACTTTGCACAATGTTAGCTGTACTCCAGCTTCCCCAAACAACTTATTAGTACAAGTGGCATAGGTAATGGATGGATATTTGCTCTTTCCTTTTAATTGAGGTCCTTGTAGAAAATCAGTAAACCTGCAGTACACACTTTGAACTTAAGTCATGCTGAGAATATGTAGATGACTGGCCTAAATTGCCCACCATATAGAAAGTGCTGCACATAGATGCACTGGATGAATAGGTGAATGTGAAACTACTGTTAAATGCCTTGCGTGGTCACCAGGACAAGTTCTATATAGATATCCCAAACATGTCAAATGTAAGAATATTGAGAATCTAAACATAATGCATTAAAACAGATTGAACAAAAATATTTTACAGGCCATAGTTTTATTTGTTAAAATTAGATTTGACACTTTGCCGCGACCGCTCTCTTGGTCGACACAAAAAAACCTGGGCATTTGTGTGATGTTCAGTGATGATAAAGATACATACTCTTCCAACTTCATAGTCCAAAGAAGATATTGTACTGCTCATGGTAACCTCTTTACTCATTCAGCAAATGAATCTTGCACTTAAATATTTACATGTGTTTGCATTCAGGCTGACATTTTTGAAAATCAACAATATCAGCAATGTGATGCTCTATAGCATAAGAGACCATGGACTGGAAATACCTATCTGTGCGCTTCCTCACTGCCCACTGAATCCTTTTACATTTGACACAAATAATTACTCTGATTCAAGGATGAACGGATTAGATTTTGGCACCCAAAGGTCAAGATTGTGGTGGTCTCACAAAGTATGTTTATGTTTACTTGATTGGTACATTTATTTATATAGAGTTTTCCTAGTCTTGATGACCACTCAAAGCATTATCAGTACAGTTTGCCATTCACACATACATTCATACAGTGTATCTATAAGCAGCACTTTTTGTTCTATGAGGGGCAATTTGGGGACAGCATCTTGCCCAAGGACACTTAGGCATACAGATGGAGACTGGCGATCGAACTGCTTAACCGTCTGGTTGGAGGATGACTACTCTACCCCTCAGCCACAGCCACCCATGGAAATGGGATATCTTAAAAGGATAGTTCACTGAAGGAGGGCTTGTGTGCGTGCAAATGCGTCTCTGAAGGAGGATATCAGAGGACATGACGTGAATGACACCGTTGCAAGTCGAATTTGAATGTCAGGGCTTTCAGACACTATGATGATGCCACAGGAGCAGTATGGAGGCATGTTGTGTTTTTTCTGTTTTATTACGTCTGTATGTGGACTCAAACACTTCACCCACCCCTCCATCAGCATAGTGGTAAGTAGATAATGAGTTTTTATTTTTTGGTGAACTATCCCTTTAAGATCAGGATTTGTCTTTAAATTTGGGACAAGCATTTAGACTTAAAGATGAACTGATTCCATTTAGGTGGTCGAATGTAAAAGGTCAAGGTCACATGACTCTATCAGAATCAGAATCAGAAATACTTTATTAATCTCCGTAGGGAAATTCAAATGTCACAGAGCTCCTGAGAAAGAGCAAAAAGCAGGTATAAACATAGCAATATAAAATCAAGTAAGACTAAAATGAAATAAAAGATACACATATGTAGAAATAAAAACCAGGTAGATTTACATTTGTACATGAATGTTAGTTAAAGTATACACAGCATACAGTATTAAGCTTTATTTTCTATGTTGTTTTGAACACAATATATCAGGAAAAAGTATGTAGAAATATGTACACGGAAACTGCAATGGTTGTCAAAGGAGGCATACAAGTGTTGTAATTCTAGTTTTCTTCCAAAAGTAATATCTCCATTATGATCTGTTTGTGTGGGTAAAAACTGTGGATGAGCCACCAATAACATTTAAATAACTTTATTGGCAATTTGGTGGTGTTTCAAATACAAGTAAAAAGTAAAGACCACCAACATTTCTACAAATATTGTTTTAAAATTAGTTTGTGTTAGACATTTCTTGATCCATGAGGCAAGGCGAGTTTATTTGTACATCATATTTCAACAACAAGGCAATTCAAAGTGGTTTACACAAAATATAAAATGCAGTGTGACAAAGTTTGAAAGCAATCATAAGATAATATTAAAAACAGATATACATATATTATATATTAAATACAATATAGATAATGAAATAATATATAAAAGATTGAATGTAACAAAGCAGTGTAATAATTGAGTAATTATTTCATCTATCAATAGGGAGACTCAAACAATAAAGTCTTCAGCATTTATTTACAAGAACTAAGAGTTGCAGCAGACCTGCAGTACTGCAGAGCTTTTTTCCACGTGTGGAGCATAAAAACTGAACGCTGCTTCTTTGTGTTTAGTTTTGAATCTGGGGCCAAAAAACAGTGTAATCTCTATAGATAATATATAATAAGACGAAACACGGTGTCGCGGAACCCCGGGACAGCCAATGGCTGATCAGGGTGATTATGCTAACGGCCCAATCACCGCCATAGTTAAGGCCCTCCCCACAGGGACAACGGGAGCAGGGTACCTTTCAGCACCGGGGAGCTGTCTGTTGCGACCTTATATACAGTCTATGGTTGCGACCTAGCCGGACGACACCTGACGGTAAGAAAAAGACGACACGTACACGCGCGCACGCACAGTGCTCGTTACAAGCGTAATAGAAGCCAAACTGCAGCGCTTGCACACTGAGCAGAACCGTGAAGTCCCGCTCGGTGAACCTCCGTGGAGAACATAGGCGACAGCGAGTTAATCACTGACAGGATGAGTGGTTCTGCACAGACCTGTTGACGATCCGATATGTAGTCAACGCGCAGCAGGAAATAGCCTGTGTGCTGGAGGTCGCAGCTCCTTCACGTTGGCAGCTGACAAACACGGTTGGCCTATTCCCCGGTGGCTTACACTGAACCTTAAGGGTATGTTCTTCCTCTTCCTCTTATTATTATTATTGGAAGCGTCGTGTCTGAAACGAGCTTTTTGTGTTAATGTTATTGTCTTATATTCGATGTTTTCAGCAACAGCAGGTGATGGGGGTTTGCATGATATTAATAATAGGGGCGGTTGGGGTTGAGGGGGGAGAGCGGTCGTCCCCCCAACCATTGTCGGCAGCTCGTTCCCAGTCCTTCTCATCCTCCAAGCGTCCTTAGGCAACAATGTATGAACGTGCGTGTGGATGGGCAAGCTAAATTAGACTGGAATCCACAGCATGGGATCTATATATTATATTAATTCCCAGCAGCAGGAGTGAAACACGAACAGATAACAAATATGAGCATTCACATTGATGAAGTATTCAGTGTTTACTTGTTATGGTGCTCTCCTCTTCTTCACCTCTAGAGTAGATTCCTTTCCTCCTCTGCCCCCCTCTTTATCTTAACATAACTTTATCAGTTATGTGTACAAACAAACGATACGAGATCATACAAACGAAAAACATGAATGTAGCTACTATTTAATCGGCTAAACAGTCATCAGTTCACATTATTCCAGACAGTCACACATCACAGCAATACAACAGAGCTGTAGTTACAGGTTAGTATTCAACAGATGTACATGAATCAGCATTTCATGGTTATTACTCACTTCAGTATGTTGCTCTTTTTTTCTCACACTTGGCTTTCCTTGGGATTAGTCTAATTTTACTGATTTATATATGAAGGAAGACTTGTGACTTGTTTCACAAGTGTTATGCCTCCTGACAAAAATGTTAGAGAACCAGTGAGCACTACAGTAGTATGTGTCTAATTTTTAGAGCTACATTATTTTAAAATGGAATGTGCCTTATACTTAACTTGGTGACCTGTATAGAGAATATTCCTGAGAGGTCATCTGAGAATACATTAAGTCTAAATAGACCTTTTCCATTGAACTCAATTTGACATTTGCGGAGATAGCTCGCCAGAGGACCTCCAGGTGAACCAGGGAGAGTTGATTGGCACAACTGAGGTTAGTTGGTCAATGAACTCTTCCTGGATTCAAAAGGCAGCAGCAGACCTGCCAAGAGAATACCCACCAGATCTTAGCTGCCATGATCAGCATAAACTGCTGGACAACTTATGTTTACTCCTGATTATTAATAAATCATGTTTGAGATGATGATGACAGCCAGAGATGAACCTGAGTGGTTCATCTCTGGCTGTTGTTAGGAGACCCAGTGACAACATCGGGGCACAATAACATTGCTGACAATAAACTATCAATTAATTTATCACTGCTGGTCTCTTAATCTCTATCAGACATTTTCCTTTGTACAAATACTTAAATACTAAACAGAGGCACCAATCAATGTTGTAAATACTCTTGTTTTGCGGATATTCTCAGTTCTCAGTGGCATCTATTGCACTTCTGTCTTTCTTGGCAGAGGGATCCCTCACATTAGATTAAATAAAACTTTATGGATCCACACAACGGGGAAATGCACAATGGGAAAATTCAATATTTTCCCATGTAGCTCACTCTCTGTTTTTTGGTAGTTTTATCAGACTGTTTCAGGGTTAAGGGCAAAGGATGTTGCACCTTGTTAAGCCCATGAGACAAAGTGTGATATATGAACATGGGCTATACAAATAAAATTTGATTGATTGATTCAAAGCAGGAAATGCTCAGTTGTAGTTAGCGGCATTAATGAAGGCCACTTAAGTGAGCCAGTTGCAGGGTTAAAGATTGTACAGACCTTCTGACACACTTGATGTAAAAAAATGTTTAACTAGTTCCACACATATATTGTGTGTGTCTGTGTGTGTGTGTTAGAGTTAGAGAGTACCAAAAGACATTTTTAGGTTGTTTGCCCATAGCAATATTGATTTCAATATAAGAAACCGTAGAGATAAAGAGCCTGAAGCTTAAAGTTAAAGTTGGGTATCACCAATGTCGTCATGAATTTCTTTATAACATTTCGTCAGTTTATCAAATGGTGATTGAGATATTGTCCAAGCATGACTGGTGCTTCTAGAGGCAAGGATCAATTGAATCAGCCGGATTCTTCCTCTGGACTAAATTTCATGGTAAACAATCTAAAAACTGTAGAGATATTTGTATAGAAATATATGAGTCTAGACAAATCAACTGACTGGCCATCATTGTCATTCACAGGGTAATGCTGCTAGCATGGCTTGAAATACATATTTTACTATTTCAGTGTAACACATAAACGTAAGACATAAACTTTTGACTACAATATACAGTATCTTCAAATACTGCAATATGCCAAGAATAACTCAAAATGAATCTTTTGACAATTGTGGGATTTCCATAAAAGAGTGTATCATGACACTTTCCTCCATCAAAGTCCTGTGTAGTCAGTATGTAATAAAGAAGATAATAAACCGAGAGGAATTAAAATCTGCCAATTTTCACCACAGGGAGAGGTTGCAGGAAAACAGATCTCAGTGCTTTAAAGATTGACAGGGTCCCAGCTTTTTACTTCTCTAGTGGGATTTGGGATAACTGGCCCTTTAAGATTCAAACTTAAAATACCTATTATAAAGGCCTAAAAGATGGTGTGACATGTAGTTCACTGGTCTTAGTCTGTAAACTCAGTGACGTTTGTTCATCTTTGCTCTTTTCTCACAGCATCTTATTAAAGATACTTGTTAGAACTACCCTGCAGACACACAGGATTGGTTTAAATAACTAACAAAAGAAGCTACATTTTCTAAAAGGGCCTGTTTAGGACTCTGGCTCAGAGGATGTGTAGCAGTTTCAATGAGGGGACAGAAGCACCATTCCGATATGCTCAGTTCCTCACTGGTTTTAGCCAATCACAGCACAGATTACTACAATCCTCTCTCACATCTCCTTGTCTTTAATCATCTTATCTTCTCTAACCTGTGGATCTACTGTACGTTAGTTTGCTCTGAGTGTTATGCCGGTTGTAGTAGAACTGTATGCTGCATTAAAATCTAACATTAACAGCACAGTAATAAATAATTGGTTTGAAAGGAGTTGAAATGTAAATACAAAACAACACAACGAGGACTTCCGGTGACACACGCAAGTGTTTAATTTCTCAAAATTCGGCAAGTAAAAAAATTTTTTTTGAATGCAACCAGAATAACTTAAGACACAGGAGTAACTATGAGCTCAGTTTGAGGTGCAAGAACCGCACAACAAAAATCCAAGGAAAGAAAGGACCCCCACTCGGCCAGCTTGCAACAAAGACATGAAGAGCATGGAAAAGATTCTCCGAGGGCTGAGAGAACTAAGGAAAGAAAATAAAGAATCGTTTACAGACACGAAGGCCTTTTTGTCTTGGCTGGAGGAGTCAGTGAATAACCTGAAACAGCGAATGGGGGACCTGGAGCAGACAACAGCGGATGCAGAGCCTAGAGTCGGTGCCTCTGAAGACGTTAGCCAGCGCTATTGACAGGGTGCTTGGAAAAGTAATTGTAGAGCGACTATCAAATTTACAACAGTATAGTCTCCAAGAGGCAGGGGAAAAAGCTTTACCTGCCGGACGCGCTTGCTGTTTGATAAGACTTCATTCCAAAAGACTGCTGGTTTGTGTATATTTATTTAGGGCTAGAAAAACAAGCAGTGAAATGTTCCCACTGTCCAATAAACATCAAGTCAGTGCATTTGGTTGATATCATGCGGTCAGCAAAGTAGGACTTCCCCCATCACCCTCTCGTTCCTTCATTCACCCGGTGAGGAACAGCTGATTTTACTACTACCTGCAGACGTACCACCACCACGTGACTCAGATCCCCTTATGTGACCATAGCAACAAACTTAACATTACAAACAATACTAGCTGGCTCCTACAGTAATATACTCACCAGAGATACAGATAGAAAGGGCACGGGTACGTGCAGTGATTAAGCAGCTGAAAGAGAAAGGGATGTAGGGGAAAAGGGTGTAACTTTTCGCCTGTGATAATAACAAAGTGTTGTACCTATACCGTTGTAAGACTCTTGAAACAGCTGATCACAACGAATAATGGCTATTATTTTGTTCATGAGTGAATAAGAGGTATAGGGAGTATAGTACTCATCCCGTTCTTTTCTTTTTTTACTACGATAAGACCCAAGGCAACAACCTCAAAACTCTCAGCCTACAACACAGCAGGGGTTGGTGGCAATTTTTTGGGTCAGCTGGAAAAATGTTAACGCTCAGTAGCCCTATTACAGGAAACTCACTTATGTGATGCTGAAGACAAGAATTTAAGAGAGAATGGGTTGAATAGGTGTTTTATTTTATTTTGTCTGAATAGCAGAAAAAGAGGGGTAGCTAAAGATATAATAATTGTATGGGGTGACTTGAACTGTGTATTAAATCTGAATTTAGACAAACTACCCTTGGTGCATAGGCCCCCCAGTAAAAAATCTAAAGCAGCAAAATACATGTTGGAAGAGTTGGGGTTGGTTGATAGTTGGAGAGCTAAAAATCCCAAAACAAGAGACTTCACTTTCTTGTCCTTGGTGCATGGGTCATATTCCAGGATCGATATGATTTGTATTTCAAAACACAGCCTTCATAAGGTTGAAGAATGCATTATAGAACACTCTGTCTGATCATGGCCCAGTAAGGCTGACTTTAAATTTGGGTTTTGATAGGCATTTTAAATGATTAAATGTTTACATGCTAACAGACCCAATTATTCAACAACAACTAAAAGAAACTATAGAAGATTACTTTGCAACAAATGATAATGGATCAGTATCCCCCTCCACACTATGGGATGGCGAAGGCCATGCTGAGGGGTAAATGTATTGAAATAGCTGTCCAGTTAAATAAACAAAGACTTGAAAAGGAGAAACTATTCGAAAGTGATATAAAAAAACTAGGACATGAGCATGAAACCACCAGGGATGCTCACATATTGAGACAACTTCAGTGCTGCAGAGATGCACAAGTCAAAAATATTATGAGATGGGGAATCGAACGAGCCGTCTGCTTGCCTTTCAGTTCAGAAAAGAGCAGTCAAATCGTATAGTACCTAAAACTACTACACCCCAAGTCTTTGGCTGAGGTTTCTCATCCAGTAGAATTGGCAGATGCACTTAAAACATTTTATCCCAAACCTTTATGATGTACCGGATGAGGCTCAAAATGTATCAAAATTGAGAGGAATCTTCCAAAATGAGTGTGGTTCCTATAGACCAGTGGTCGCCAACCCGTCGATCGCGATCTACCAGTCAATCTTGATCGACAGGTCCATCTCAACAGTCTTCACCGTCGCTCTCTATAACTCTCTGGACTCACAGTCTGTGGTCGCACGGCAGATCAGCTGTGGGTCGGTTGTCTGTTGTTCACACCCGCTGTGTGTCCGCTACTGGCGGCCTGCATTTCCTTCAATACAAGTCAGATTATGCACTGAACTAAATGTCAGGACTCTACGGTATGAAGTCCTGCATCTTCTGGTCTGTTGACAACAATCAAAGCCCTGTTAGAACAAATAGATGGATTCAGAGGTAAAACGCTGGAGTGCTTTTACTTTGAAACATGTTCAAGAAGTGTTGTAAATACATTTGTGACATAGACAGATCAACTTTGTGTTTCACTGCAGAATAAAATAAAACAAAAGCACTGCAGCGTTAAAAATGTTTTTTTATTGTGAAATATTTGCAGGAGCTGAAGATGCATGAATTCATACTGAAATAATAAATATGACCCTCCTAAGTGGGTTTTTTGCAAGATATTGGGGTGGTAGATCTCGGCTTACGTTTTGAATTAAAAAGTGACCTTGTGCTTTAAAAGGTTGGAGACCACTGCTATAGACCAATTAGTTTGCCCGGAAATTATGCAAAGATTCTTAGTTCCATACTAGCGAACAGAATGCAGAAATACCTTGGAAAATTAATCAACCCTGACCAGGCTGGATTCATACCAGTATGACAGGGTGCAAATAATATTAGAAGGGCTTTAAATTTACAGTCAATAGCAAGAGATTCCACCCATCCTTCAATGCTTCTGACGTGGAGCCTCAGCTTTGATGTGGAGAAGGTGTTTAATAGGGTGGATTGGTCATATTTAAATTTTACTATGGAGCAAATGGGATTCAATTGGACATTTACCAGATGGATTAATACTTTAAATAAAGATTCAATATCTAGAGTCAGAATGAATGGATATTGCTCTAAATGTTTTGATCTTAAGAAAGCTGTTTGGCAAGGAAATCCAGCCTCTCCTATTCATTCGCATTATGTATTGAACCATTCGCTGAATTACTTTTTTTTTTTACTTACTCAAAATTTAGTTGTTCGCGGATGACGTTATTTTGTTTATTAGAAACCCAGTATCATCTATTCCGGCTCTCATGCAATGTCTGAGGAACTTTGGGGAAAACTCAGGGTACAAGGTTAATGAAGGGAAATCGGAAGCAATGATGATCACAGGAGAAATTCAAATGGTCAAAAAAGGGCTTTATGTACGTACTTGGGGGTCATTCTGACTCCTAACTCATCTCAATTATACAAAGCTAATTATGATAAACTAATTTCTCAGATAAAAAATGACCCAGAAAATCTGAAACCCCAGTACACATATTAGCAATGGACATTTTGTTAGATGGCTTACTATAGATTCATATTAGAAGATATTTTTGACAAACCTTCACAATTATAAATAAAGAAATAACCAAGTCTCTTAAATTAATAAAAACGAACAAAGGTTCTGATGTACAACTGTATTAGTTTTTTAACAACTAACTTGCTTTATTATTGGACATGTTTGAAGATTCATTCACTCCCTCCAACTCTACATCAAGCCTCAATTTCATTTATTCTTAAGAAAGATAAATGTCCAGAGGACTGCAGCAGCTACAGGCTAATAGGGTTGTTAAATTCAGATGTAAAGCTATTCGCCAAGGTTTTCAACTTCTCTCACCTGGATTGGTTTATAATGGAGGAAAGTTCTCACAAATTCACTTGCCGCTATGGTCTATGCCCCTCTTGTCCCACTTACATAAGAAATCCAGTATTGCAATATTTCTGTCCCTTCCCCATATAACCCCATTTGTAACAATCACGTATCTCCCTTCTAAGTATAATTTGCCCCGATCCCATCTATTCCGGTATTTTCAAGAGCGAGAATATATTCGCACAAACTTTACATCTTTTCATCAGCTTCCAACAGATCCTCCAGTTGCTGAGAAACATGGTATGATTTCAACTTTATATACATCATTTTCTAGCATAAATGGATTGTATTTATATATAGCTTTTCTAGTCTTGATGATCAGTACAGTTTCAGACACACATTCATACAGTGCATCTATTAGCAGCACTTTTTTGTTCTATGAGGGCCAATTCGGGGTTCAGCATCTTGCCTAAGGACATTTTGGCATGTAGATGGGGAAGCCTGGGGAATGAACTGTGTCCATTATCTACTCATCACTATGCCAATGATAGGGTGGGTGAAGTGTTTGAGTCCACAAAACAATTTTAGAGTTTCAGGGGTAAATAATATTGCAGCCAAATCCAATACTATTGAAGTAAATGGTGACCACTTCTTCAAACATATAAAAACAACAGAAAACATAAAATGCCTCCATACTGCCCCTGTGGTGTCATCCAAGTGTCCGTAAGCCTGACATTCAAATTCCACTTGAAACAGCCTAATTTATCCATGTTGACCAGCCTAAAATTATTATTATCATTGGAGACCTATTCCTCCCTCTGCCACACCCTAGCTGTCTGATCTAATGCCCTTTTTGATGTTTGAAAAGGTGAAATATTCCCTGAGAGACTCTTTAATAAAACAAAAACCAAAAAATAGTTGGGAGCCTCCTATGTAAATATTCTAACCTCTCTTTACCCCATTTGATTTTGAATCCATGTTATTGTTCTCCCTGTTATATTTATTACAGTCTTTTTTTTCAAATATTTCTATCTTATTTACTTTTTGACTTATTTTTGGTGCCTTGTATTTTGTATTTTCTTAATGGTGGGTAGCTGGAGTTAGGTGATACTCTGTTTCTCTGTTGTCACACCACATGATGGACGGGAAGGGAGAAAACAAAGAAAAAGAAAAGCTGGATCACAGCACATTGTATTTGTTGTCTGTACACTGCTGATCTTTAATACAAATACATGGGAAAAAATGACTTAAATATAACATGAATAATGTCATGCATGTGTTTGTGTGTCTGTAGGTGAGGATGGCCAGTGTGAAGCAAGTTGGCTTGCTAGCAGCAGGCTGTCAGCCCTGGAACAAAGATGTGTGCGCTGCTAGTGGAGACCGCTTCGCTTACTGTGCTACATTGGCTATTTACATCTACCAGGTGAACGAGATGTGTGTGTACGTGTTTGCATGAGAGAATTGTTTCGATGTTAAATGTTCAAAGGATGTTTAATTTTAAAATCTTAAACAATACCAAACATTACCAAAGCCTCTTTCACATACAGTAATTTAGGCTATTATGGTATTTTATAATCTACTCACTACCTGAATTTGCTATTGGAATTTTGAGTACGGCAAATATCCATATCCAGTGGTAATAAGACACGTGTTCAGCAAAGCTCATACAGTTTAATTAAACAGTGTATCCACATCTTGTAATGGAATGATTGAAAGCAGTGGTTCCAGAATATTTTTTTTTATTGGTTTTCTCCTACAACCATGTTACCAACTGGTGGGATTATACAAACTGTAGTTTTTAAGCATTATTTATATAAGTGAATCATCCTCAACCAAACAAAACTGATTCACTTTGAGAAAAAAATAACTAATCATCATCTCCATCATCATCTCCTCTCCCACTGTTGGATTTGGCGTGATGGAGTTTTTGCTCTCCATTTCTCTATCTGTTTTAAATTTCTGGCAGTGACAGATGATGTGTTTACCCATTTCTTCCCCTAAGTCACATTCACACTGTCCTGCTGGATGTTTCCCTATTAAATTCATTGTTTTGTTTAATCCTGTGTGTCCTAATCTTAATCTTGATATGACTGTTTGCTCTCTGGTGTTTTTGCCTGTTGTTTTCATCCATCCCAGTGCTTGCTTTATTTGATATAGATGGTGTCCTTTATTTCACTCATCCCATTGTTTTTGCCAGTCAGTCATGATGTTGCTCCTAAATACTGCTTCATTGAAAGCAGACTGACTGAAAGCTACCTCCATAACTCTCTCCTTTTTTAAAGATTGTTTGAATCAGCCATTTCATTGCCCTTGATGCCCCTGTGCCCTCTGAGCTGGGATTTACATGAACCTGACTTTTGTTTGTGTCATATGTAGTTTGAATAGTCTCTTGTATTTTTCATAAATCGGGGCTGCTGTAGGATGACAGGGACTGTAATGATTCAAAACTCATACAACAATGCTGATAGTGAATCTGAACATTCTATAACATTTTTTAATCTTGTTTTGCTTTGTCCACTCTAATACCTTTGCTTTGCTTATTTACCTTATACCTGATCGATGTTGTTGTCTTTACCTGAATATATCTATCAAACAAAACATTTTTTATCCAATCAAAAGTTCTTCCTGTTATTTACCATTTCATCTAACTTAATCATTAAACCCTCTCTCCATACCATATCATAAGCCTTCTCAACATCAAAGAAAATTGCCATTATTAATTCTTCACTAATTTGGACTATACTAATTTCTGTCTCAAAAAATATGCTTGGGTCCAATCGTTCCCCTCTCTTTCCTACAGCCACTCTGATAAGGAGATAGCAAACCCCTACATCCCAGCACTTCTTTCTATGGGAGAATTCCTTCCTCAAATTCCAACAATATACTTTTACTATATGTCTTTACCCCTAATCTGAAAACCTTAATCTCCTTTACTCTGCCACCTTTCAGATTTGCTCTTACTTCATCAATGGACACAGATTCCCATCTCTCAAAATGTCGGCAATTTTAATCTCACCTACTTGTGGTTAGCTTTACTGGGCTCAAAATGTGGACTCCATTCTCATTCATAAATTTGAGTATTACCTTGAATTCATTTACTTCTGTTTCACCATTTCCTCCCTCAAAATTAGTCATCACTCTTATTTGTTTCCTTGCCCCTAATCCACCAAAATAATTTCCTTGTTTCTCTCTTTTCCTTTCACTCTCCTGACTGATTTCCATACTATCCCCACTCTCCAATCTGTCTGACTCTCCCCTCTCTGGTCCATTCACAGCATAGTTGTTCATGGCCCCCCTGTTTTTGCTTCTCTGTTGATTCTCACCATAGCGTCCGGAGTGATACCTCGCCTCAGATTTACAGGTGTCACCCGCAGTTTCCTGTCGGGCTCATCAACAATGTCTTTAATTGCTCTCACTTGTGAACTATCTCAAAGAACTTTCCTCCCCCATCGACTGTAGCTTCCCTACATGGGCCAACGCTCCACATTGGTTCTCTCCTAGGCTCCCGCAGATTGTTTTCTTAACATGTCCTCTTTATCTGAGGATGTAGAAGAAGATTCAACTGTGTCTGTGTACTGACCACACTGCCCCACTACTCACTTGCACACCGATTGTTACAGAGCGTTGATCGTTTGTTCACTAAATTTGTATTAATATACTAAGATAGATATATAAAGATAAGGATCACATCAATTTATTTATTATTTTTCTTTAAAGGTACAATGTTTGTAGTGTTGATGTTACATGTTGCAGCTGAATACCCCTCACCTCACCCTCCCCTTCCAAAAGTGTAAAAGAACCTGTGGTAGCCTTCAGTTTTCATAAAAACTCAAGAGGTGTTTAGTTTGTCCAGTCTGGACTAATGTAAAAAACATGGTGGCCTCCATAGAGAGGGTCCCCTCGATATATAAAGTATTTAAATATAAATGGCCTTTTCTGGGTTAAAGAAAACTACAATTCATACAATTTAGATGGAATGAACTAGTGAAAACTTCATGAGGATTATTCTCCATTAAATATCTGCCAATAGTTCCCTTTTACCTAAATCTTACACACTGGATCTTTAAACAAGTGTGGTACATTTACTTAAACGTAATTAAAGGCACGTTGAACATGTGTTTTTTCAATCAAACAATCATTATTGTTTTTTTCTGAACCTGAATGCCTTCACATTTACTGCAGAGGCCCTTTGGATAAATAGCCTAGGTTATGAATCAGATTTTATAAATAATTTGTAAACTATTTGTCCCATATTATATATTTTTCTCTTTTTTTCCCTTTTGTTTGAAGTGTCTACAGTTCTGGACAGATTTGAATCTGTCTACAGTATAGTGTATTTACTACTGCAGCAAGATTTCACCAGAGAACTTATGTGAAACACATCTCAGGATAAAATCTGTTGCTGCTTTATTCTTGTTTATTTCCCCTCTTTTAATTCCTTGTCATTCTCAATCTGCCTGTTATAGTTTGACCAGCAGTACAATGAATATAAATTGAGATCCATCATGTCAGAACACAAGAAGACTATAACAGCTATCAGCTGGTGTTATGACAACTCTGATCTCTTTGCATCGGCCTCTGCTGATAACCTGCTCATCGTGTGGAATGTCACAGAACAAAAGGCTGTTGCAAGACTGGACAACACTAAAGGTAGATGGATGGTTGACAGGATTTATTGTTATGGTGAAATTTTTAAGAGTAGATTATTTCTATGTCTTTAATCTATAAAGTTTACAGTGTCTCCTCCTGCATTCCCAGGTGTCCCCACATCAGTCAGTTGGTGCTGGAACTCAGCTGATGGCGTGGCCTTTGTCTCCCAGCGTGGTCCGTTGTATATCTGGGTGTATGGAGGTCCTGACCCTGGGCTAACAGTGCATAAAGAAGCTCACTCCTTCCTGTCTGATATCTGTCTCTTCAGATGGCATCCGAAAAAGAAAGGCAAACTGGTGTTTGGACACACAGATGGAAGTTTGTCTATTTTTCAGCCAGGTAAAGAGAGAGAGAAAATAGTTTCCTTTCACATTAATTAATTTAGTTTTATTCAAACACACACAAACTCACACATACTGCTTAACCATAATGTAAACTGTTCACCTGCACTTTTGTACCTGTAAACACACATCTTTAACCTCTTCACCGCTGTCTGCTCTTGTTTAGGGAGTAAAAGCCAAAAGCATGTGTTACGTCCAGAATCATTAGAGGGCACAGATGAAGAGGATCCAGTTAGTGCTCTGGAATGGGATCCTTTGTCAACTGACTATTTGCTAGGTTTGACAAAATAATCACATTATCATCACTCTCTTGATAATGTGTACTTATGACGACACATTGAATAGAACAACATCAATACAGTTTTAATTTATTGCATAGTTTTTGCCAGTGTATGAACATGTTTTTTTCTCCTACAGTATCTAACCTCCACAATGGTATAAGGCTGGTGGACAGTGAGGCCTTGAATTGTATCACATCCTTCTGCTTCCCCTCAGCGGCTGCATCAGTTCAGTGTCTGGCCTGGGTTCCCTCTGCGCCAGGCATGTTCATTACCGGAGGTAAAGGTGCTACATGTTTATGTGGGATATGTGTATGATCTCATTTCCCATCTGCCTCAATGTGTTTATCACCAGGTTACACCACACCAGGTTACACCACACCTCATACCAGCCATCTTTGTATGTCAGACTCTCAGGTTGGAGTACTGAGGGTGTGGAACGTGTCTCGCTCCACTCCACTGGACAGCTTTAAACTGAAAAAGACTGGGTTTCATGCTTTGCATGTCCTTAACTCCCCTCTTACCAAAAAAGGTAATATTTAGAGTAAAACTTGTTAGATCTGCAGCCCGACTGTTGTTGAAAAACTGCTGTGGATATATATTCTGTTTGCGTTTCTGTCTGGTTGTGTCAAAATTTTGTTTCAAAGTACATTTGTGTTTCAGTGCTTTGTGAGAACAGCTGTGTATGTTACCTTTTATCATATGTGCACTGTCTGGGCAGTCATTCAAACACTAAGGCTTCATGTGATTAATTCAGCAGCTCTTATATCTGTGATATAAGGATAAGAGTGAATTTTAAGAAATATGAGGATTATTTTTATTTTATAGCACACTAGATATTTTCTTTGACTTAATTCACTCTCTACTCACACTACAGCTCCAAGTTCCTGTTCCCCCAGTAAAAGTCAGCACACCAGTTCCACCAGTGAGGCGGTGCCTCCCCCGACCCTGTCACAGAACCGCTCCTTCTCCCTGCCTCCTGGCCACGCTGTGTGCTGCTTCATGGATGGAGGAGTGGGACTTTATGATATGGGTGCCAAAAAGTGGGACTTCCTTAGAGACCTGGTATTTTGTAACATTCTTTATGCTGTAAATTAAACGGCTAACACCTGCTTGATGAAGAAATATTTGTGTTCTTAGCATATGATTTATTTGTTCACTGCTGTCGTATTGTTTCCAGGGTCATGTAGAAACTATTTTTGACTGTAAGTTTAAGCCAGATGATTCCAACCTATTGGCCACGGCTAGTTTTGATGGAACTATTAAAATCTGGGACACAAATACACTAACTGCTGTTAGCACCTCCCCTGGCAACGAGGGAGTGGTCTACTCTCTGTCCTGGGCTCCAGGTATATAAACGCCACATAAACAATCAAACTCATGTACGTGCATACACACTGTTTTGTGGTGAATAATTTTCTTTTCCACCACATGGAAAAATATGCTGTGTAAAATAACTTCAGATGAACTTTAGATGATCATGTTCATTAGACAACATCCTTACACACAAGAGACATTCACAAATTTCACATAGAGATACAAAATAATTTTAGTCCCATCTGAGCATTCCATGTAAAGTGTTTAATCTTTTGCTCATGTGAAAGTTAATTATCTTTCTCTGTGTGTGTGTGTCTTGTGTCTTGAAGGCGACCTGAATTGCATTGCAGGGGCGACATCTCGTAATGGAGCGTTTATCTGGGATGTCAGGAAAGGAAAGATCATCACTCGTTTTAATGAGGTGACTTTAACTTTCAGTGCAAAATGAATGTATCAATAAAATCACGTAGCTGAAACAAATATTCAGTAAAAAAATATGGCTTTTGTCTCCACATTTTTTGCACCAGCACTACATGTGCACATGTTCCTCTTGCAGCTGTAGACAATTGTATTCTTTGATAAACTACCAGATAGATGTGGTATGAGTTAACGACATCTCTATTATTCTGCAGCATGGTAAGAATGGTATATTCTGTATATCATGGAGCCATAAGGATTCTAAGAGGATCGCTACCTGTAGTGGAGACGGATTCTGGTAAGTGCTCTTTTTATGCTTGGTGAGGAGTTTGTTCTTTTATCAGAGAGAGTATTTTATGTATTCTATCTATTTATCCCATAGAGAGTCATACATGTTTTTTTATTTTATTTTAACAACAGTATTATTCGGACCATAGATGGCAAAATTCTGCATAAGTACAAACATCCTGCTGCTGTGTTTGGCTGTGACTGGAGCCAGAACAACAAGTAAGACTTCATTCACTCTGTCACCTCACATTGCTGTTGGTTACATATGGCCCACCTAGTAACTACTGCTTTTCTTATTTCACTTATTTGAACAGTATATGTGGTATATAGTAAGACTTGAAAGACAAAACTTAACAAGCACAATTGCAAGATATTTCTAGATAATGTAGTGGACATTCCTGGTCTGGCTTCAGGCATCACTGAGCCAGGATGTGTAATCCCAGCCTTTGACCTATAGGCTGACCTCAACCCCATCTCCACACCGTAAAACCTCCATTTCTGACAAGAAACCAAAAACAAGGGTTGCTCTTCTTCCAAAAAAACTGATTTTAAACTGACAAAATGAATTTATGACTGCAGGTTAGTCAGAAGGAACTGGCAGAAGGGGGGAAAATGACGATTTTTATTTGATGTATTTAGATGGTTTTCTTTCTTGTGCCTGTGCTTTCTGTGAGATTTTGTGATTTTGTCTGGCTACAAAACACATTTCTCCTCAGGACAATAAAGTTGAACTTAAAGTAATATTGTTTTCTTATTGAAGTTAACAGTCCAAAATATTCATCTCACATGTACAATACACCACAGCCAGTAATGCTATTTTATTTCCCTTATTGTAGAGTGGCATGCCTTTATGAATATTAGTAATGTTAATGTTAAGATACAGAGAGCAGAAGGACCCAAATTCTGGAGCCATAGGTTCCAGTAAAAAAGTTCCTTTAATAGCTAAATGTTCAACTAATCAAAACCCACATACAGATGAGGAAACTAGAAAAAGTTGAAACACACAATTGGTGTGGAAAAAGGGAAACAAGATGAACTGACCAAGACAAAAGGAATCACAGAGACTTATATTCACAAGGGAAGCAGGAACGATTCAACACATGTGGAAACACATTAGGAGAACGGGTGCAGATGATCACAAGGAAGGGGAAAACATGATAAAGGCAGGAAATCAAGTTGGAGACACACAAGGAGCGTAATTTTGAAATAAAACAGGAAACGGAGAACTCAGAGACAACAACCAAACAGAACACAATTGAAACACAAGGAAATCAAGGTAAAGCTCCATAAACTTTTCAAAAGTTCATGGGAACAAAGAATCATGACAGTTTATTACTGTTATAATTAACTGTTCTTATACTGTTGTCATATTAACTTCTAATGTTTTAAATTGATCCTTCAGTGATTACCTATAGATAACCTACCATACAGCATAGTGGGAATAATTAAGACAAAGAGGCAAAAAATTATCATTGCTTCTCCCTTCATTGCTATCAGATAAAATCAGAATCAGAATCAGAATCACTGTTATTGCCAGGTGTGTGAACACCCACGAGGAATTTGACTCTGGTTTTACTTAGCTCTCTTAGTACAAACAATTAAAAAAACAAAACAAACATAGACATAAACAAGAACAAAGACAAAAAACAAAAGCTATGTATATGTAAAAAGCTAAATAGGTAAAAATAAGTAAAAATATATATACATAAATATCTGGTGTATAGACAAGGACATGTTTCTGTTTAGCTGTTCAACACAGAGACAGCCTGAGGGAAAATGTTTTCTTATGTCTGGATGTTTTGGCGTACAGTGTTCTGTAGCGCCTTCCAGAGGGGAGAAGTTTAAACAGTTTGTGTCCATCTCCTCACCGTCTTGACCAAAGACTTAGCAGATTTCAGCTTCTGCCTGTAGGTCGGGATAAGATGAACCATGCAGTGATCAGAGAGTCCCAAGGCTGCACGGGGGATAGAGTGGTATGAGTCCTTTAAAACAGTGTAACAATAGTCCAGAGTGTTAGTGTCCCTGGTGGGACACTTAATGTCACTGGTGGGACACTTAATGTGCTGTTTATATTTTGGCAGTTAGTGGCTGAGGTTTGCTCTGTTAAAGTCCCCCAAAACAATGAACAGAGAGTCCAGGTGTTTTTTCTCCATGTTGTTTATCTGGTCGGCCAGGTGTTGTAACGCCTCAGTTACACAGGCCTGAGGAGGGATGTAGACTCATGACCAGGATAAACGAGGAAAACTCCCATGGTGAATAAAACGGTTTCCAGTTTATGAATAATGTCTCAAGGTGAGGACTGCATGATTTGATTTGAACCGTGACATCAGTACACCAACCTTCGTTAATGTAAAAGCAGATTCCGCCCCCCCTCGTTTTCCCCATGAGCTCCTTTACGCGGTCCGCTCGGTGCAGGTGAAATACAGGCAAGTGGAGAGAAGTGTCCGGGATGTGCTCACCGAGCCAGGTTTCGGTGAAACACAAGGCAGCAGATCTGTTAAAGTCCGTGTTGGTTGTGTTGAGGAGCAGCAGTTCGTCCATTTTGTTGGCCAGAGAGCGGACGTTAGCCAGGTGAATAGACGGGAGCGCAGTGCGAAACACCCGTGGCCTCAGTCTGATGAGCGCCCCGGCTGGCTTCCCCTGGTGTCTCTGGCGTCCTCAGCGGAGTCCATAGAGAGCTGCTGCTCCTCCAATAAGTAGCTCTGGAAAACTTTCCGGATCGATGAAAACCGATGAAAAAACTTTACTGGTGGTAAATACTTGGTAAATAAATAAATACTTTTAACATTGACTCACCTTTCCATTATGCTAAAAAACATATCTTCTAATCAAAATCTGTCCTGGGAGAGTGATCCCTCACATGTGGCTCTCTCTGAGGTTCCTACATTTTCCCTGTTAAAAGGGTTTTTTATGTAGTTTTTCCTTGCTCTTGTTAAGGACAGAGGATGTTGTACCTTGTTAAGCCCTATGAGACAAATTGTGATTTGGGAATATGGTGGAGGAGGGGACAAAGGTCTAGAGCAGACAGGTTTGATTAATGAACCATAAAAGGTGGGATGAATTCTTAGAGAAGTTTTAGATGTGCAGCAGAGGGATTGATAATACTATCAAAGATACCAATGAACCAAGAGGCAATTTCTTAGAATCAACTTTGAGGGGAAGATCCTTGGAAAAGAGCCATCTCTTTTGGCCAGTGGTAAAGACTGAAGCAGGGATGCAGTGGCACTTGGTTGGGACTAGGTCTTAGTGGACGCTTACATGAGGGCAGTCCAGGCCATTTCCCATGACCGCTGGCAGTGGTGCAAATGGTCCTTAACTGAGGGAATGAAAACCTCCATCCAAACGTTTGGCGGCCTAAATGTAGGATGGGTTTATGTGGTCTGTCCACACAATGAAGGGAAGAGCCGGTCCTTCAAATATCATAATTCTTCTCTGCAGATGGACATTTGTGGGAAAAGGAGGCAAAGGGGTTAGGTCTTAGATCAGAGGGGGAACATTGACATAATGGCTCACCTAGTGTCGGAGGCATCCACTTCCACGATAAACTGAATGTCCAGGTCGGGTTGGGTGAGAACTGGGGCTGGTGGTGAAGTGACATTTTCAATTCAATTCAATTCAATTTTATTTATATAGCGCCAATTCATAATTTACATTATCTCAAGGCACTTTACATTTAAAGGTCYAGACCTTGAAACAATATTAACATAGAGAAACCCAACAGTTCCCACAATGAGCAAGCACAGGCGACTGTGGAGAGGAAAAACTCCCTCATTAACAGGGAGAAACCTCTGGCAGAACCAGGCTCAATGTGGGCGGTCATCT